TGCTTCAGTTTTCTCTCTCGCCACTCGGAGTTGGACCTCCATCGATGATAGTTTTTCCTGGGCAGTCTCCTTCTCCAAAGCCAATAGGTCCATTTTTTCCTTTCCACCCTTCGACCATGGACTTGACCTCGTTCATCTCGGCTCGGAGTTGGTCGATCCTATTAACCTTCTGCTGGACCTGCAAGTTTTGGCCATTAGTCACCATGTCTGACTCATCATCACTAACTTAAAAAATCTTTACCTGTTTCACCGGGTCGGCATGCTTCTTCTGAGCCGCATCCAACTCAGCCCGGAGACTCTTGACTTCTTCTTCGCGTTGCTTGCTGAAAGCCTTATACATATCCCTCTTCTCAGCAAGCTCTTTGAGAGATATCAAAAACTAAATCCGAAGATTGAAGGCATGCAATGACGCCTAACCCGGTTCAGGGCTTGATGTGCGTCGTTGAACAAGCACGGCGTATCCACCTCATTCAGTTTTGCCTGGTCTTCTTTGGTTACTAGGCACCAGAGATAGCTAGCTACTCCAACGAGGGAGGAAAGAACCCGGGCATCCTCCAGGACGGTGATGATTATCGACCGCTTTCGGCTAGGATCCATGCTCGGGGCGAGGAACTGGTTGATAAATTTAGGGCTCGAGTTCAGCCCGCCGACCTCCGAAGATGGGTCTTTTCTTGGCACCTCCAAATCACCCAACCCGGAGAAGTCTTCCAGGACGGTTGAGTCCACACCTTCAAAAAAGGAACGGAGGGGATTGTTCGTACCACGGGCCCCTTCGTTGGATCGCTCCTTCACTGCTCAGGCTTCGTCGAACATAGACTCAGTAAACGAAGGCGACCCCAAAATTTCTATAACACCGGGCAGAGCGGAGCCGACGTCTCGAGAGGTCTTGACCCTCACATATACATCTGCCTTTTGAACCTGAGGGGGATCAGCCTCCGTTGTTTCCCCCTCGGCTGCCATCCACTCTTCGGGGAAGGACTGCTCACAGGCCACAAAAATATCACCTTCCTTGGGCTCGTCCCTGAGCCGGAAAGCGAGTCTGAGTCAGGCGCTTGGGAGCTAGAAATCTCCTTTGGCTTACGGGCCAACCTTCTCTTTTTCTTCTTCTTCTTTTGAACTCGGAGAACTTGGAGCCATCATTCTCTTCTTCTTTCCTGCTGCGGCCCCGGGTTGCCCCGAAGCGGAAGGATCGACGGACAGGTCTTCGCCCCCTAATAAAGGCGTAAGCTCAATGGTCTTAGGCAATCCTGCAAAAGGAAAAGAGAGGGAATGAGAACATGGTGCTGAAAATGGGAGCCTAGTGTTACTTATTCGGGAAAGAAATCTTACCGTGGGAACGGACCTCCCAGCGGCCCTTCGAGATTTCATGCCACGAGCGCTCAGAATAAGGCATCTGCGAGCAAATGCCCTCGATCCACTCCTTGAGCCAAGGAATGGCGTTTGGGACTCGAGCAAGGGCTGCACCACAACAAATATCGATGAGAAAAGGGGAGATAAAACATAAAATAGACATTTAAAATAAAGTTATACTTATGTGATACATTCCACTTCTCGGAGAATGGCTTAAACTCGACAGGGATCAAGTTTGCGGTCCTCACCCGGACAAAGTGTCCCTGCCAGCCTCGATCCCAGTCCTCATCGATGTTTGAAAATGGGGCTTTGCTAGCCCAGCGTACGAGTTTTATCAGTCCCCCCGAAAGATTCAGGGACTGTACATGCGGAGTAGATGATCGATGGTGAACAAGCAGAAGTCGATTTTGTTCACAAAGAATCGGAGGAGGATTACGATCCTCCACCACGATGGGTAGATCAAATCGAAGCATACTTCATACCTCCTGCAGAAGTCCAGAATATCCGGATCCACCGGGCCTAGTGTGAAGAGATAAGTGTAAACACTCAGATACCCCTCCACATGAGTAGTAATATCACTATCGGGCCCGGGGATTACTATGTCCTTATCCGCCCAGCCGCAGTCCTTACGAACCGTAGGAAGGACGACCTAGGTGATGGAACAAATGTACCTAGATACCACCTCACATTGGCCTTGCACCAATGAGGGCTTTTTGACCTTAAAGTCGTCCGCGACTGAACACCCTCTGGGGACGAACATTTTCAAGGGATGTTGGCTTCCAGTTCATCGGTAGCCGTGCCCGGAGCGAACCTCTCGAGGTCAACCACATCGTGGGCGATCTCCTCGACTTCGGTGGTCGGCTGTGAAGATGAAGAAGCAACGTTTTGGGGAATGGTTTTGGAAGTTTTCGCCATTGTTGTCTGGAAAAAGCTTGAAGAATATGAAGAAAGGTTGGAAGATGAAAGGCAAAAGCTTTGCTGAGAAATCAAGTGTGTTGGTTTGGATAGAAAATAAGTGAAAGCTTACAATTTGCTTAGAAATATTGAAGAACTGAGGTAAAAATATTGGAGTATAAAGAAGGGTAGTGATATCCTGAAGTTTTGAAGGTAGAAGCTTGGTCAAAAGATAAAAAATAAACGAAGGTGGGGAGTATTTATAGAGGCTTCGTGCTGTTTCGAGTCCAGGGATGGTCTGCCGATGGCCGACACGCGTTTGAAGTCATTATGACGCGATTGACAGGACGTTTTAGATTCTTTGTCATTTCTGTCACGGCGTATTGAAGACGAAATCGAAGTGCTTATGTCGTTTCTCATCGTTTCCGTAAACTTACTCTCCGAGAAACGAGGAAACTATCTGTATACGGGTGAAACCGAGCCCATGGGACGCCTCGATTTCTGATGAAGCGAACGGAGCAAGAAACCGGAATCGAGGCAAGAGCCCCATAATCCGGGGTCCAGGAAAAACACCTGCCCTCGGGAGTATCGGGGCCATGACCCCCAGGTCTGGTTCGAATCCCAAAAGCCTCGGAGAGCATTACCAGATAATCGAGTACGACCAACAAAAGGTCATGATATCCGTGACCAGCCGGATATCACGACACGTATCGGCAGAGAACCGGTAATTAGTTAACAGAAGATTTTTACCTTTTATGAAATTGTACTTAGGGTAAACCTCTCTTACTATATAAAGGGGGTCTGGTTATTCATTAAACACATTGTAACACGCATATCAAGGCAATATACTCTTATTTACTCTGTTATTCAAAGTTCTTATTTTTGTTCATCAAATCACCAGTAACGTGAGCCCGGGATCGAAGGCAGATATTTCATTAAGCTATTACTAAGTCCGGGATCACTCCTCTTGATTGGTTTGACAATTTATTACATCCTTTATTTGTTTTATGTTTGAATTGAATTAATCTGCATATCCTTAAAACCACATATAAATTCAATTGTTATCCGTTTTTGAGGGTAAACACAAGTAATTATAAATAATTTTAGTGACTTGCTTAATGTTAGGCAAAATGATGTTTGGTTCACTCTGGAGAAATTTTTGATGTTTTGAAGTTATATATAGTAGAATAATTCCTACTGAATTTGAGTAATTATTATCAAATATAAAATCTATCTATATAGAATAACAAAGGCAAAACCATGTTAGGCTGACAAGTGGAATACCCACAATTCTAACACATGTAAAAAATTAGGACAACTCTCCAAGATAATTGGAATTTCAAATTCAAACTACAAATCAACAAAATAAAGTTAAATTTAAAAAATATAAAAAACTTCCAATCGACCCACGATTTTGTTTCCAGTCCTTCCACGATTTTATTTTTGCAGTTATTCTTATTGATACACTTGCCTATTAAAAATAGAATTTCCTTCCCCTTATTTGGGCTGGCTGTTATTAAAAAATAAAAAGAATCCTCCCACTTTCTTAGTTGACCCTATTTTACTCAACAACTACCGTGTCAAAGTTTCAATTAGTTTTTTTTATACATAAATAAAAGTTTAAAAAAAAAGGACGAATAATTTTTCAAAGTGAGAATTTGGCAAGAGTTAGAACTTGCTAAGAATTAATAACAATGGGCTAACTCATTCTTCAATCAGTTGAAAATATATTGGTAATATAAAAATTAAGTTTCCTGTCGTACTTTAATTTTTAATTATTTCAAAAATACATTTAAAAAATTATCTTTGGGACTTATAGTAAACTATAAATACTACTGCACTAAAAAAGATATAAAATAAAAAAACAAAATATANATATTTCTCTATGCTCTTTTTGGTTTAAAACTATCCGCGCATCGCGCGGGTAAGTATACTAGTAAAATAGAAAAAGAAGAATGGAGATTTTAAAAAATAGAACACACTTTTGGAATAAATAAACTAATAAGGTGTTGCGGTAGCATTGACTGGACGTGCATGTCCACATTTGCAGTAGGCACGGTGACATAAAAGAGAAATTTAAACAAAAATGCCGACTGATTTTGTATTTACGTTTCGAACTCCAGACCACCAAATAACGTTTTACCCCCTAGACCATCTTGCCACGACTTGGCCAATTGTGTTCAACCAGCGTATTAAGTTCACTTAAATAAATTCGATAAAAGCGAGTTCATTCGAACTCTTTTGACCCAATTCCCTGGTAATACATACAAACACTACAAATACTTCACTATTAATTATGCCCGTTCAAATTAAATAGGCCTGAGTTCAATTCAACATATTATAATATACAAACTACAAAAGTCATATGGCGTTCTCGAGTTGAAATTTAAAAGGGTCGGCAGACGTGAAGTTGGATCAACTAAACCTGTGAGTAAATAAACATTAAAGGAGGATTGTAATTTGTAGTAAATGTTTTGCGATCTGAAAATTCAAATATTCTACGTTCCAATTTACATTAAAAAATTGAATTAACTGACCTAACCACATAAAATGAAAAGTAAAAAGTATCATAATTTCTCATTTAGTAATCCCCTAAAAGAAAAGATTAAGAAAAAAGAGAAAACTAACGAGAAATATATACATTTTTGATCGTGTTTCTAGCTTTAGAGATCGAAGTCCCGCCTTTAAAGGTTGCTTTCACTTTTTCTTCTTCTCTCTTTTTATTTTTCCTTTTAAATTTAAATACTTAGAATTTTCTTCACGTGAAACTTTTTTTCAGCCAATGTACATTGACATTTTTACGTATAAATACAGATTCTACAGAAATTTTCTGATCTCTGAATATTCCATTAAATGTCGAATTCTGAGACAAACCCATTTCGCTTTTCCTTTTCATCCACAAATCCCTTTTGCCGCTTATTCAGGTTCCCGATCTCGCACCCTTAATTTCCACTTTTTATTTTTTTTAGTATAATGTATTTTGAATCAGTCCTCATATATGTATGTAATTCTAATTTGTAGATCTAAGTTCAATTTGCAGACCAATTCTGTATGCTGATTAATTGATTGATTGATTTGATATGAGCTAATATTGTTTCATGTGAATATAGATAGACATCTATTTGTTTTTTGTGATGGCTATGGGTATTTATCTTGATAGAAATTATGTTTTTTATTTGGTTTCTGATTGTATAGTATAGCTTTATAGTATCAGTTTAGTTTTAAGGTTGTGTGGTTTGGGATGTACACAAATTTAATCTAGGTTTCCATTGTGAATTAGGCAGTTTTTTTATCCATAAAGTGCAAAATTATTGAGGATTTTGAATGATGTAGGACAGTGGTGATTTGGGGCAATTCTACTCCATACCATATTTTTTTTCCCTTTTTATAACCGTGGTGTCTGGGCCAGCTTGCGACACTTCGACTATTCCATCAATTACTTGTTACCTCAATGTACTGGGTAACTCTACCCCCATGGCTTAGGCAGACGGAGAAAGATCACCTAGTTATTTTTTTTTTGCCTCCACTGAACTTTAAACTTGAGACCTCATGGTTCTCTCTTGCCACCCTCTTATTAGGTGGTGGTGGTGGTGGTGGGTGGGGGTGTAGAATGTGGACCTTTTTTCGGGACTTGTTTCTTTTGAGTTTTGTGTTTAAACCCAAATGACGATTGAGGTTCAGTTCAATTTACTTCTTTTATTTCTAATGGATGTCATAACCTATGAATTATGATGGATATATAATATTTTGCACTGTTCCATTGCACCTTAAAACATGGCTTATTACTTGTACCTACTAGCAACTCCACTATACGTGCTTGAATTTTGTTTTAGAATCTATTGAGGTCAAATCATGTTTGTTAGAATTTACAATAGCGCAATGGCCCTTATGGAAGACAAGCTCGTTTGTTATGTTTTCACAAACCAATAGTCTTATTCTATATCATGTGTAGCTTCACCTACCTCGTCTCAGTTCTGAGATATCATTTGATAGAATTCTCTGATGGAAATGCAATTGGACAGGAGAAGTTTCGATGCATTGTCTTTTATCTTGCTCATTTACGGATACAATTGTCTTTGGTGATTATTTGCTTTTTAGTGTATGAGATATTTCTGGATGTAGTTTAATATTTCTGGCACATTCATGTGATATTATACTATTCTACTAAAACTTTTCTGGATTCTTTCTTCTTTTTTGGGGAAATAGACTTTGCTTCTCTTGTTTTGTAAATAAAGAAAGTTCTTTTGGCAGGTTAAGGTTTCAATTACCAGAATTGGCTCCATAGCAAATTGTCTCCAGGCTTCTAATGAGAATTGAGGAAGAATAATGAGACATTGTCTTAACAATGGTTGATATCAGTGTTTCATTATTGAGGTTGCTGAACAGTTGGTATTATTTTGGTTCCTATATCTTTGCATGGTTGGTTACCGGATCTCTTGGACTCTTGGCAGTCATATATGTTTTTCTTAAATGGCAACGGAAGACATCTCTCAATTGGGTTAAAGCTGCTGCTGTAGCAAAGAAGCAAGTGTGGGAGAAGCTGAAGGTTCCCTTATCCCATCATACATGGATTGAAGATTTTGCTTATGGTGTACAGCCTTCCACATGCAGCGTGTGCCTCACATCACTCGTTTCTCCGCATACCTTAGGTACAAAAGCTGCATCACGATTTCCAGTTCATCGTTGCGCTATTTGTGGTGTCGCAGCCCATTTTCGTTGTTCTCAGTTTGCCACAAAGGATTGCAAGTGTGTTGCACAGGCTGGTTTAAGCCATGTCCGGCACCATTGGTCTGAAAGATGGACCGACTTGGATGAGAATCCTGAGATGTCTGCCTTTTGTTTCTACTGTGATGAACCTTGTGGTGTGCCTTCCCTTGATGCATCTCCAACTTGGTATTGTTTATGGTGTCAACGATTGATACATGTCAAATGCCATGCCAAGATGTCTGAAGAATCTGGTGATATTTGTGATCTGGGTCCTCTCAGAAGGCTTATTCTTTCTCCACTCTATGTTAAAGATGTAGAAGCTGAAACTAAAGATGGTGCAATCTTAAGTTCTCTGGCAGGTAAAATGAATACCAATGGGCACATCAGACGAAAGCGTCATCGGAACAAACATGGAAATGACCTCATAAATGGTAAAGCGCAAGGCAGTTGTGCTGCAAAAAGAGCTTTGGAATATGTGATTAGATCCCTGGTGGCTTTGAAGCTTTCCAACAATGAGAAGAATAACGGCTACTCTATAAAATGTAACAAGCTGGGTGGCAGAAAAGGTAGCCAGAATGGGTTGGCCTGGAACAAGCAGGAAAGTAGAATCTTGGGCAGATCTAAAAAGTATGCGCTAGTGGATTTGCCTCATGATGCTAGACCTCTTTTAGTTTTCATTAACACTAAAAGCGGAGCTCAAAATGGTCCTGCTCTTAGAAGGAGATTAAACATGCTGTTGAATCCTGTTCAGGTGAAATTTCAATTTAAGGCTAAGAGTTGCAAGTACTCCTGCATATCACAGCTTTAGTTTAAAAGGGAATAACTGGAATAATTAGCTAATGAGCAAATGATAGCGTATGTTCTAAACTATCTAGATGGCTTAACTAGGCTCTTGTACTCTTTTGGTCAGAGCCGAACTCTTAAATTATATATAGAACCACATATATCATCTACCTTTATCAAAGTGTTTAATTCAAGGCATTTCCCTTTTTTTGCAATGAAAGTTGGTGCCAGTTTATCCTATTGCTCCCTCTATTTGCTATTTGCAATAAGAGCAGGAAAAGAAGAAATAGGAACTGTTTGTAAATTCTAACGCTATAATCATCTCCGACAACTTTAAGAAAAAGGGAAAACCCGCAATTTGCTTGTTTTGTTGTTCTATATGTAACTAATATGAGCCCTCTCTTTTCTTCCCTTATTCTTATTCTTATTGCAATTTAGTTGCAAATAAAGAGAGATTGGAGAGACAACTGGCACCGCTTTGGATAGCAAGAGAAAAATACCAATATGTTAAGAAATTTGATACTCTGCCAATAGTATACGATACCAATGGTTGTGTGAAGCTAAATGCGGCCTTTAAGGCTTATTTATGATTAGATATTATATAAAGGCATAATTTAGACTATTTAGATAGTTAAGGGCCTCTGATATCTTTTGCCTTTATCTAAATGACAGTTCATGTCCTAAACTTTTTACTAACTCAAAATAGATCATCTAATAGATATTTCTTATGATTTAATTTAGGTATGCTATTTTCTTTGGGCACAATTGTGGAGGTAACAGTTGAAGTTTTGCAGGATGTAAAAAAAAAGTGATTGCAACGGTGAATTTAAGCTTAACTTTTTGAAATATGTGCTTGTTTTAATATAAAAGTGGGCTTAATATAAACTATTGAGAAAATATGAAGAGTGAAGGGAGCAAGTTTCCCGTTTTTTTAGGAATGTGGTTACAAAATATTGGACTACCCAAAACAGAAAGAGTGGCAGCTAGTTGGAACAAAAGGATTTTGTCATAGTTTGTAATTTACCCATTCTGTTTAGTGGAATTGTTATTTAGTAGCCGCAGCTGACAGTTTATGTTTATGCCTACTTGAGCTAGAGCTTGGCCCTATCTTTTGCTTTGAGCAGGATAAACCTCATATCCAAGTCACTAATGCTCGTTCTCTCTGACCTGTCTTCTTCATTTAGAATGTGATCTAAGTGATGGCTGAGCATCTATCTCCATCCTCATTTTCCTCGTAATTTTGAGTTCATTTTGTAACTTGGAATAATATGAATTCTGGAGTCGTTTGTTTTATTATGAAGTTATAATCTACAGAAAATTTGATACTCTGCCAATAGTATATGATACCAATGGTTGTGTGAAGCTAAATGGGAGCTTTAAGGCTTATTTATGATTAATATTATATAAAGGCCTAATTTAGACTTTTTAGATAGTTAACGGCCTCTGGTATCATTTGTCTTTATCTAAATGACAGTTCATGTCCTAAACATGTTACCTAGCTCAAAATTAATCATCTAATAGATAATTCTTATGGTCTAATTAAGGTATGCTAATTTCTTAGGGCACAACTGTGGAGGTAACAGTTGAAGTTTTGCATTATGTAAATGAAAGTGATTGCAACTCTGAAGTTAAGCTTAACTTTTTGAAATATTTGCTTGTTTTAATATTACAAGTGGGCTTAATATAAACTTTTGAGAAAATATGAAGAGTGAAGGGAGCAAGTTTCCCTTTTTTAGGAATGTGGTTACAAATTTTGGACTACCCAAAACAGAAAGAATGACAGTTAAAGTTGGGGCAAAAGGCTTTTGTCATAGTTTGTAACTTACCCATTCTGTTTAGTGGAATTGTTATTTAGTAGCTGCAGTGGACAGCTTATGGTTATGCCTATTTGAGCTAGATCTTGGCCCTACCTTTTACTTTGATTAGGATGGACGTCATATCCAAGTCACTAATGCTCGTTCTCTCTGACCTGTCTTCTTCATTTAGAATGTGATCTAAGTGATGGCTGACCATCTATCTCCATCCTCATTTTCCTCCTTATTTTGAGTTCATTTTGTAACTTGGAATATTCTAAGTTCTGGAGTTGTTTGTTTAATTATGAAGTTATATCTTAGAAAATTACCTGAAGGCATTTTCAATAGTTGTCCTCCTTTTTACCTTATCAAAAAAAAAAAAAACAGTTATCCTCCTTTTGTCTTGTAATTTATCCGTCATGGCAAGTGTTGTCTGTGTGTTCGAACGTTCAGATTGCATAAAAACTTCATTTTCATAAATGCAGGTATTTGAACTTGGTCAGTCCCAAGGACCTGAAGCTGGTTTAGAATTATTTAGTAACTTGCAATACTTTCGGGTCTTGGTCTGTGGTGGTGATGGGACTGTTGCTTGGGTCCTTGATGCTATTGAGCGGCATAACTTTGAGTCACCTCCACCAGTAGCAGTTCTTCCTTTGGGAACTGGAAATGATTTGTCTAGAGTCCTGCAATGGGGTGGTGGATTTGCAATGGTTGAAGGGCAAGGTGGATTAAGACCCTTTCTGCACGATTTGAACCATGCTGCCGTTACAATGCTTGATCGTTGGAAAGTCAACATAACTGAAGAAAAATCTGCTCATGACACCCCTAAGGTGCAATCAAAGTTCATGCTGAATTACTTGGGTAAACTTCCATCTGTTTCCACATTGTGACTTGTTTTCTTATTTGATTTGGGGTTTGGATGCCATTTGCCTGCCATAGGATGGGGGGAAGGGGGCTTTTGATGCTAGCCAAGAATACAATGAAAAGACCCTTCTATTTGTGCTACTTTTAGATATGATGCTTGGACCTGCCTTTTAGTATATATATATCAGCAATGTGCTCTCTAGACACCACTTGCATGTCCTTTAACTAGTACCTTTGGATCTATTTAATTACCGGAAGCTTTTCTGCTACAGGTATAGGATGTGATGCAAAGGTTGCATATGAATTTCATATGAACAGGGAAGAAAACCCTGAGAAGTTTAATAGTCAGGTATGAACATGCCATTTTGTGCCTCAGTGATCTCTAAGCTACAATTGTTTTATAACTTAATATGTGAGTGTATATATTTATATGCCCTTGGGAATCATTTTTCCAGTTGCCCATATATTTCAATGGGAAATAATATGCAGAAAAACAATGGCAAATCCTTAACGGACATTGTTGAAGATAATTGATTCTGATTGCATGTTGTCAATAGATCACTATGCTTTAGTTTCCCTCTATATTAATTAAATTCATCTCGCAATTTGCTGCTTTTGTGTGTGTGTGTGTGTGTGTGTGTGTGTGTGTGTGTCTAATCAAGTTTCTCCTACAGTTTGTAAATAAATTGCGATATGCAAAA